AAACATCGAATCTATCAGTGTATATGAAAGACATATTTTCACCGTTATTGTATTATAAGATAAGAACGATGATTTCAGTTTTTACAATGTTACTAAGCGGGAGCATGATTTTGATTTAAAAAGTACCATCAAAATACAGTATTTCCACAGTAATAAGTTGATAGAATGAATTCTTTTCAGGTTCTTCATACCTGATTAAGGTCTACATTATACAGTGTCGTGACTGACAAGCGATTAATTACTTGGAGACTTCTCTCTACGAAAAAAACCAAACCAAATCAAACTCTACTAAAATAATAATTTTCAATGTTGACATAATACAATTATTAAAAGGAAATAAGGTACTTTCATTGCTAAATCAAATTCTTTTATTTTTCAGGTCAGTCGCTGTTGATAAATTTCATTATCGATTACTCTATTCAACTTTATTTGGTGGTGTAACAGCTTTTAGTTTATCTGATTTCGTTGGTGCTAATGGTTATCCAACAATTTATTGGGGTTGGGGTGGTGAAGATGATGATATGTATTTACGTGTTGTTAAAAAATTAAACAAATCAATTACACGTTATCCTATTGAAATAGCACGTTATAAAATGATTCGTACACTTAATCATACATCCGGTAAACCTAATCCTGATCGATATACAATACTTTATTCAAAATATAATTATAGTCGTGATGGAATAAATACAATGAATTATAAATTACATAATATTGTTTTTCATAAATTATTTACATTAATTAATGTTACATTAACAGAAGAATCATTTAAACAAATATGTACACGTTTAAATATTACAAAGAGAGGAAAAAAAAGAACAAAATCATCGAATAAGAAAGCATAGATCTGTGATTATAGTTAATGAAATATAAGAATGTTGTATTTTATTTTATTTTTTGCTCTTCAGTTTCATTTTTTAAACTAACGAATGACATTTTACTTGTTTTTGTTTTTGCTGCTCTTTTTATGTTTTTTTTTAAATATTCTCTGGTTTGATTCTCATCGTTTCTGAATATAAATTGTTCGAAAATGAATGTTATACATTTTACTATGGCATTTTAGATCTACATATACATACTTGTATGAAAATTGACAAAAAATTTCTATAAATTTTCAATATTGGAAGCGAATATTCAATGAAACTTAATTAGATGATTGGAAAGACAAGAAACGACTTTATTCTTTCATTGTTTGTGTTAATTCTGCTTTGTCAAAGAGTTTTGAATATTTCGAAGTTGAAAATTACAACAATTTTTGGTTCAGATTGTAATTAGAACGAACGGAGAAAATGATCGAAAATAATTTGCATCAATAGATTTATCAACTGCTTTAGTCAAAATAACATTTACAGTATTTTGAAGACAATGAATTAAAGATTCAAATTTACATGATTGCTGACTTTTCACAACAGTATATATGAACAAAATCATTCGTTAGCGACGTGAGAGAGTACCAAAACAATGCTCTTATAATTGAATGTGAAATTCAAAATGGCACGAATTTCAGCATAGATGTGATTCATGCTATAGAGTCCATTCTGCATATGATGGGGAATTCGAATTTGCGGCAAATTCATTATATAGAGGTAGAGAAGCATCTTGAGGATGAAGAAGGTACTCTTGGTGAACAACAAAGTGAGGGTGAGGAGGGTATCCTTGAGGGTGCCCTTGAAAAGGTACCCCGAAGGTGGTATCTTTGAAGGGCTACTCTTAAGGTGGCTGTACCCTTCGGTAGGAGATTTCTTTGTCTTTAAAGAAGCTATAGAGATACAGCGGTATAGCGGTATAAGCGTTTTGAATTTGCCGCAAATTCAAATTCCCCATGAACTCCCATTCTGAAGTTTTCGAATTTTGTTTCTCATATAAATAGAGAGATATTCGCCAATTACGTTTTTTTTATTTAATAATCCATTTAAAGAGTCAACGTTTTTTAGAAAACAAAAGCAAAGTAAAATAAAGAAAGCGTATGTCTTGTTTTGCCTGAAATCACCCATATATGCTTCAACAACATCTGGTCTTCAGTACTTAAATAGTCTCAACTCTTAGAATTTTATTTTTTCCCCCATGAATTATGTTTCTTTGTGCTTTTTATTGATTCGGATGCAAGTGATATATATTGGCATCTGGTTTTGTGAAACACGATCTAGAAGGAGTGTTGAAGTGTTTAGGGGTAGAAAGTTGGGCCCGGTTGCGCGCCCCCGCCCCCAGCCTTAGAAGATGAA